GTACTCATTTCTACATCTGTTATAATTTTTCAGTTTAAAACCCTTAACTAGACGTGGGTATGAGTCAGATTTCTCAATAAGATTTCAAATAAAATATTTAAACTCAAAAAACAAAAAAAAAGAATACTGATTGCTTTAATTTTCAAAACTTCTTTGGTGTCTGCCAGATGAAGGAACATGATGGCCAGGAAATCTGTGAGTCACTCTGGGAAAACGTGGAGTCACAAACCTGATCTTCTGTCAAACAAGTCATAAAGTTTCACAAAATCTTGTTACTCATGTAGTTTTATAACTCTGAAATCTACATGGTGCTATTTTTATTAAAATGCTAACTGAAAGCCTTACTCTCAGTTATTTCTTCAGGCTACATAGTTTTCTCTATAAAGTATGAAGTGGTAGGGTGCGAATTATTTGCAAACAAACCTCAGGAATTAGTTGTCCACTGACTTCATTCTTAATAGAACTTAAACATCATCATCTTGTACCTGTCTGTCTAAAAGGAATACAGGCTATATCCTTAGTTTATATACATATATATATAAACACACACACACACGTCCATTAAAATGAGATCAAATTTGGATATTTAAAAAAAAAACTCATTCAAAATTAGTCTCAGTCTCTAAGGAGCCCATTTTTTCCCCCAAGCTCAGCTAATTAAAGAATTTTTTAAAAGTCTAGAATATCTATTTGCTTCTAATGTGCCTCTTCAAGATAAATTTTATCTGTAAAAAAACAAAACAAAAAAATCCCCACAGCTTGGGAATCTACTTACATAAATAATACTAAACTATTAAGAAACAGAATAAAAGAACTTCAAAATCCACTGAGGGAAATGCAGAGCTTTTTCAAAGCCATGAATGAAATGTGGAGCCAGAGTGGGATTGAAGGGTGTGGAGAAATGGGGAAAACAATGCGTAACATTTTTAATAATACCTTAAAACCAAACCCATTGCCATCGAGTCGATTCCGATTCATAGTGACCCTATAGGACAGAGTAGAACTGTCCCATGGGGTTTCCAAGCAGCGCCTGGTGGATTCAAACTGGCAATCTTTAGGGTTAGCAGCCGATCTCCACTATTCATAAAACATTTCACATAAGAATTGGGGGAGAAAACTACTCTAAGAGGCATCATTTTATCATGGAAAGTGAATTCCCTTGCTCCCTGTTAAAATTCCTCCATGTAATCCCAATAGTTACAGAATAAAAATCTAAACCCCTTCCAAGACATACAATGCTTTTTATGACCTAATATCTAGCTACATCCCAAGCTCATTTCAGTCTCCTTCCTCCGCCCAGGCCTCCGGCGTGAGGACCTTCAGTTCTCTCACTCCTCCCAGCCTTTCCATATATAGGTAGTCTCTTGGCTTGGCAAATGCTTAAAAAAAAACAAAAAAAAAAAAAACGGAGGATAAGTATCAAAATGTTAACAGTGGTCAGAATGGTCAGAAGTCATGGGTATTTTCTCCCCTTTTATCCTGTTTGGAAAAAATGTCTTAAATGCTTAACTTAACATTATTGTCCATAATATGACCTTTGATCCCCTAAACATTAATGACAACACTCTAAACTTCCAAATCTACCCGAGCCAAAATGGTGAGCACTCAGCAGCATGCCATTCCAAGAATGGAGGAAAATCATGAGAGTGTAGCATCTTGTCACCGTAAAGGTGGGAGAAAGAAAAGATGTAGGATGTACATACTTCCAATACATTGATTGGCTTTTAAATAATTATTCTTACTATACATCCCTAACCTGTATTGATCATCTCTAATCAAATGATCAGAGACTTACATGGAACAAGAAACCAATTAGCACTCAAAGATTACCTGTTACAATAGACGCTTAAGGGGTATACCAAGTAACATAAGACGTGGTCTCTATAGGCAATTTATAATTTGGTGGAAGAGGAAAAACTAGCTAGATGAAACATCAACAATATACAACTGAGTGATAAAGTATGTGGCATAGACAATAATCTTATAGGCTAAACCAGTATATAAGAAATACCATTAATACCTGATAAACATTACACAGTTGGAGCCCTGGTGGTGCAGTGGTTAAGACCTACCATGTGCTACGGCTGCTAACTAAAAAAAAAGGTTGGCAGTTCAAATCCACCAGCCGCTCCTTGGAAACCCTAAGGGACAGTTCTACTCTGTCCTATCAGGTCACTATGAGTCGGAATCGACCCGATGGCAACAGGTTTGGTTTTTTTTCCATTCTATTTTAGACTGGAAAGATGAGGTATTATAGCTATGAGTTACAAATGTCACTCTAAATTTTACAGGTATTTTTAAAATCTTATGATTTGTTAAGTTTGTTTTTCAGTGTGACAGAAACTGCAGCAATAAAATCAAATTTTAGGCCTCAGGGGAAAAAGTACCCAAGGAAACAAATTTTACCTGAGATTTGTGTCTTTGGGTTTCTGCGACTGGGAAGAGCTCCATCCAGAGACTGAGCAGAGTGAAAAGGTTGACTTTAGAAAGCCTTGGTATGTGACCTACAAAAGAGAGGCCACACACTTTAAAATTTTACTGATGACGAAAATAGGAACTTCTTAGCTCAAGGCCACCTGGGTGCTGCTGCCTTAGCCTAGCTGTACTAGCGGGAGGCAGAGAAAAAGGATCAGAGGACAAGAGAACCAGTGAGATTTCTTAGGGGACCAGCTTTCACTCACTTGCGGCGACCTCCTGCGGCATTTTCCAAAGTTGGGCCCTCTTTCTCCAGAAAAAAAATGGTACAACTGATAAACATAGCTCTGGGAACCATTTAAAGGAAGTTGTGAAAAGTCCTTGCACCAACGTTGTTGTGAAACAAGCTTGGGGCGGGGGGGGGCTGTGATGAGGCATGGCTACAAGGGCAGTGATTAGAACACGACACTAAAAACGCTGTGACTCTGCTGGTGGGATTGCAAAATGATACAACCATTAATGATATGATGCTTCCTTAGAAAGCTAGAAATAGAAATACCATATGATCCAGCAATCCCACTCCTAGGAATATATCCTAGAGAAATAAGAGTCATCACTCGAATAGACATATGCACACCCATGTTCATGGCAGCATTGTTCACAATAGCAAAAAGATGGAAACAACCTAGATGCCCATCAACAGATGAATGGATAAACAAACTATGGTACAGATACACAATGGAGTACTATGCAACGAGAAAGAACAATGATGAATCTGTGAAGTATCTCATAACATGGATGAAACCGGAGAACATTATGCTGAGCGAAATAAGTCAATCACAAAAGGACAAATATTGTATGAGGCCGCTACTGTAAAAACTCATGAAAAGGTTTACACACAAAAAGTAACAATCTTTCTTTGTTACGAAGGAGGGGAGGGGTGGGAAGGGGAAATACTAAATAGACAACGGATAAGTGGTAACTTTGGTAAGACAGTACACAATACTGGGGAAGCCAGCACAACTTGTACAAGGCAAGGTCATGGAAGCTCCATAGACACATCCAAACTCCAAGGGACTGAATTGCTGGGCTGAGGGCTGTGGGGACCAAGGTCTCGAACACATCTAGCTCAATTGGAATAATATGGTTTATAAAGAAAATGTTCTACATTCTACGTTGGTGAGTAGTGTCTGGCATCTTAAAGGCCTGTGAGCAGCCATCTAAGATACTCCACTGGTCTCATCTCTTCGGGAGCAAGGGAGAATGAAAAAAACAAGATACAAGGGAAAGATTAGTCCAAAGGACTAATGGACCACAACTACCACAGCCTCCACCAGACTGAGTCCAGTACAACTAGATGGTGTCCAGCTACCACCACTGACTGCTCAGACAGGGATCACAATAGAGGGTCCCAGACAGAGCTGGAGAAAAACGTAGAACAAAATTCTAACTCACAGAAAAAGACCAGACTTACTGGCCCGACAGAGACTGGAGAAACCCCGAATCGCCCCCAGACACCCTTTTAGCTCAGTAATGAAGTCACTCCCAGGGTTCACCCTTCAGCCAAAGATTAGACGACCCCATAAAACAAAACGAGACTAATGGGGCACAACAGTCCCGGGACAAGGACTAGAAGGCAGGAGGTGGCACGAAAACTGGTAATAGGGAACCCAAAGTCAAGAAGGGAGAGTGTTGACTTGCCATGGGGTTGTTAACCAATATCATAAAACAATACACGTACTGTTTAATGAGAAACTATTTAGTTCTGTAAACCTTCATCTAAAGTACAATAAAAAAAAAAAGAAAGAAAGAAAGGAATCTCGGCAAAAAAAAAAAAAAAAAAAAAATGCTGTGACCTTCGAGGATCAGCTGCCTTCGAGTTGTGGTATTGGCAAAGAATACTGAACATACCATGGACTGCCAAAAGAAGGAACAAATCTGTCTTGGAAGAAGTGTGGCCAGAATGCTCCTTACAAGCGAGGATGGCCACACTTCACCTCACATACTCTGGACAAGTTATCAGGAGGGATCAGTCCCTGGAGAAGGACATCACGCTTGGTAAAGTAGAGGGTCAGCAAAAAAGAGGAAGACTCTCAAGGAGATGGGCTGACATAATGGCTGCAATAATGGGCTTAAGCATAACAACTGTGAGGATGGCGCAGGACCCGCAGTGTTTCGTTCTGTTGTACGTAGGGTCGCTATGAGTCCCAACCGACTCCACCGCACCTAACAACAATTCGAGGGTAAAGCAGCTCAAATACAGAAAAGTGCCGCGTGCGTTTAACTTCGAAATCTAGGAACAACGCGGTTTGGAAAACTCCTTCAGGCTCCTCAATTCTCCCATCCCAGCTTTAGGTCCCGGGAGGAAAAATAAAGGGGGCAACAAGCGCGACTTCAAAAACCGCTGCGGCAAGGCCGAGGAGCCCCGGGAGCAGAGGCGGGAAGCGCCAAGGGCGGGGACGAGACATCTAGGAGCAGTGGGGCGGGCGAGGAGGAGCTGGCAGGAAACCCGGAATTAAAAAGCGGGAGACGGAAAGGGCAGAGCGAAAGGCTGGGCTGGCGGGAGCAGGGTCCGAGGCACTCACCGCTCATACTGCCAGTCTGGGTGCTGACTGACTGCCCGGCCCCCGCGCTCTCCAGATTTTGCATCTGCCCTGCTTCTTTCATCTCAACCCTAGCGACCTCTGCTGCCCAGGAAACCGCTCTCTGTCAGGCATGATCTTGGCCCCAGCGGCTCCCCGTCTCGCCGCCTGACAGCAACTGTAAAGCAAAGTCCAACTCGGCGCAGCCAGCTGTCGTAGCAAACCCGACCGCCACTTCCGGGCGTCTTGTGAGACGTCAGAGCGAGGCGTGGCACAGGGTTCCCCTCAGGCGGCCGGCTGATGGGTATGAGGCCCTGAGTTACAAATCCTTTGAGGCTTGTATTTGGTTGTTTTCGCTGGTTTTGCCGAAGTCAGGTCACTTGAGGCTGTCTTGGCTTGGGGTCCCGAGTTTCGCAGATTATGATGGGGTTATGAGGACTGCGCAGATTTGAGAGGTTTGGTGACAGAGCGAAGGAGAATTGAAATGGATACTTGCCCCATTCTGCCAGGGTCAAGGTCTTACAGAAACTGGGGGCGAAGGGAAAGCGAGCAGGGCAGTTGCTGATTAAACACATTAAGACATTAAAAGGTGGAACTGTGATTGTGAGAAAAGTAGGTAGGAAAAAATAGCAAGTGGACCCTGGAAAATCTAAGTAGTCTGACGTGGATTTGTGCCCAGGGCATTTTTTTTTTAAGTGTCCCAAACCAAAAACCAAATCCGTTGCCCGATTCTGACTCACAGTGACCCTGTAGGACAGAGTAGAACTGCCTCATAGGGTTTCCAAGGAGCAGCTGGTGGATTCAAACTGGCAACCTTTTGGTTAGCAGCCCACCTCTTAACCACTGCACAACCAGGGCTCCTCCCAGGGATGACTTGAAATGAAGCCCTTCCCACACCGGTGACTCAGCCCTTTTTCTACTACCAACTGTGTTACCACAGACAGAAAAGCAAGATAAACTGCTCCCAGAACGTTTAAGCAAAGGCTAGATGTTAGGAAAATTACAACATTGTGTAAACGACTGAGTGAGAACCTTCGGTGTTGATGAGTACGGATGTGGTTCATTGATTTTCACTGCTGTACAGGTAGTCCCCGACTTAGACAAGGGGGTTCCCTTCTGATGACGCCTTTGTAAATTCGTTCTGACTGTAAACTGAATACCTCATTTAAAAAAAAGAACTTGTATTATTATTCCCTTTTATTAGTAGTGTCTTAATCTGATCTTTGTCTTTCGGGGTTGGAAACATTACATATAAACTTACAGATATATTTTAATGCATACATACATACATAAAAAAATACACACCTCCGTTAAAAAAATGGCATTTTGTCAGTTGCAGTAGATTAACTCCATTTGTGGAAGGTCCTGGATCATGTGGATTATCCTTGGGAACGGAGATGGTGTTTTGAGTCAGAAAATTAGTTGTCTGTATGGTCCCTTTACGCACTGCAACATTGTATGTAGTACCTATTACTGATGATAAGATGTAAAAAAAAAAAAAAAAAAAAGGACGGTCACAAGTGTGGTTTATCAAATCTGGCAAGGTTCGTGGGCTTGTACTCACTCTGGATCCTATAGCTGGCTCCTGTTCACCTGACCTCCGGCTCTTGGCACTTGAGCTAGCAGCTTACCTGCAATGTGGCCTACCCATCTAGATTCCTAGATCTTTGCAGCCTGTGAGCAAGAGCCCTGCTCCCTCACCTGCCAGTCTTGGGTTCGCCAGCCCCTACAGCTGTGTGAATCAGGAGACGCCTTGAATACATCATAAATTGAGGATTACCTGTATAGTATTTCTTTGTAGGTATATACCATAATTTGTCCATGTTTGAGTCAAAAGATATTCGGACCATCTCCAGCTTTTTGATATTGCAAACAATGGTACTATTTTTGTATATGTCTCTTGTTCATATGCAAGATTTTCTTTAGGGCCTATACCTAGGAATAGAATTCTTGGGTTGTTATTGTTAAATTTTCTATTGTTAAAACAAAAAGCGTTTTAAGCCAATACACCTTCTCCTCACTTATCCACTTTCTCTTTATCCAACATTTCACATTTACAACGATAGTAAAAAATCTATCTGACTAATTTGTACATTAATGACATACATCTGACAGTAATGAATGTCGAGGTACTAGGCAAGGGTAACACTGGCTGTGATGATTAAAGTTATGTGTCACCTTGGCTGGGCCATGGTTCTCAGTGGTTTGGCAGTTATGTAATGATGTAGTCATCCTACATTTTCACAGAATGCCAATTTCACATAATGACCTGGTCTTTGGAACCAGGTCAATAAGTGATGAGAGGGTCTAATAGAAATTGATAGAAGTTTATTGAATATACAAGTTGCAAGTCAGGGTGACATTTCGACTAGAGTGTCAAAAATGTTCTGAAGATGAGAAGAACTTCCAAAAGTCTTATAACAAATCTTATCAGCATTGCCATGGAAAAAAGAATGGGAACAGAACTGATAAATTTGTGGTCAGGAAGGATTTTCTCTTCTTTTTTTTTGAGGTGAGCAGCAACGGTTTTATTATATATCGATATATCGATATATAGGAGACAGAGTGGAGTAGATTCCTCCAAAAAACCCATCTCCCCAACTGGAGATTGGCCGAAGGCTTTCACAGGGACAGATTATGGGTCTTAGAAGTTTGTGTTAGTTCCCCCTTGAGGGGGTCATGTCTCAGACGAGTTGATCTTTTACTGGTATTCTTGGGGGTTATCTGGCAACATCCTGGTTTTCTTGTTACAAGATGGGTGCTTTGTTTGGTTTTTCATTCTTATATCATTATCATTTGTTTTCCACCCTCCAAGGAGGAACATCAGTTAATCTTAAACCTTTTGTAGAGACTGGAACCAGAGGGAAAGACAAGATCATGAGACAATGTGGTGGTTAGCAATGAGGAGTAAATAATAGTGAGCTGGACCTATGCAGCCTCTTCAGGAAGGATTTTCATATAGCATTGTCTTGAAGAACAATTAAAATATTACTGATTTACCCTAAACATAGCTCCCAGTCTGACCTTTGGGAGTCTGTTTTCCAAAACTGACTGAATTCTTCAAAAGAGCACAATGCCCAAGGCAAATGGTCTTGCTAGTTTATCTAGAGCATTGTTTGACTCAAAAGTGGCTTATAGGAACCGTTTTTTCCAAGGCTCAGAATTCAAAAGGACACCTACGGGCAATGGGGTGTGTGGGTTATACCAACTCCCATGAAAGTCAGAAATCTACATTCCGGGAAAATTAAAGCGACTTTGTCACTATATCATAGTGAAGTTTTCAAAGGGATTGGACCAATTTACACAGCTCTATATCCCCACCATGGTCCCTGGGTGGCACAAATGATTTGCATTTGGCTACTAATCAAAAGGTGGTGGTTTGAATCCACCCAGCAGCACCATGGAAGAAAGGCTTAGTGATCTGTTTCTGAAAAGATGACTGCCAAGAAAACCCTATGGAACTCAGTTCTACTCTGTAACACATGGGGTCACTATGAGTAAGAATCAACCCAACAGGAATGGGTTTGGTTTTGGTATATCCCCACCAGTTCTTGGTATTGTTAGACTTTTAATGTTTGCCTATCTAACTGGTGTAAAATGGTATCCTGTGGTTTTGAGTTCCCCTGATTTCTGCCTAGGTTGAACATCTTATCATATGTATTCTGCACCATTGGTTTATTAGTATATGCCTGTGTTCAGTACAGTGACTTTATACTAAATCTTTATTTCTAGTAGGGCAAATAACTGCCCCTTCCCCCCACCCCCCAAAAAAAAAAAACCCACTTGTTTTCTACAGGAATATCTTGGCTATTCTTATGGCTAGAATCATATAATTGTCACATTCCTCAACAAAATTCGGGAATTTTGATTGGAAGTGCACTGAATTTGTAGATCAATTTGAGATACGTAGGCTTCCCAACCAAGAATGGGAGTCCCTGGGTGGCACAAACAGTTAAGCACTCAGCTACTAACTGAAGGGTTGGTGGTTTGAATCCACCCAGAGATCCCTCGGAAGAAAGGCTTGACAATCGACCTCAGAAAGGTCATAGCCATTGAAAACCCTATGGAGTGCAGTTCTACTCTACAACACATGGAGTCACCATGAGTCAGAATTGACTTGACGACAAATGGTGGTATCCGTGAACATCGTGTATTTGTGTACTTGGGTTTTTCAAAAGGTTTTATAACTTTTCTCCATAAAGATTTTGCATATATTTTGTAAGATTTAATACTAGTGTTTTTGTTGTAACTGTAAGTGACATCTTTTTAAAAATTACATTTCGGTGTCACTAATATACAGAAATGCAAGTGATTATTATATATTTACCTTATATTGAGCAATCTCACTAAACTTATAATTCTAATACTTTAGTTTCGTTTTTTAGATAGAAAACTGTATCACTACAAATAATGACAATTTTATTTCTTTCTTTCTAATTCTCCAAACTAAGATCATTTTTTTTTTGTCTTACTGAACTCTGAGATATCTAGGGAAAATTTTTTTTTTTTAATTGTACTTCAGGTGAAGGTTTATAGAACAAATAGTTTCTCATGAAATAGTAGTACACGTATTGTTTTATGACATTGGTTAACAACCCCACGACATGTCAACCCTCTCCCTTCTCAACCTTTTTTTTTTTTTTTTGGTGAAAATATACATAGCCAAAGATACACCATTTCAAAAATTTCTACATCATAGTTCAGTGACATCGACTATGCTCTTCCAGTTGTGCTGCTATTCTCACTTTAGATGAAGGTTTACAGAACAAAATAGTTTCTCATTAAACAGTACACATGTTGCCCTATGACAATGGTTAACAACCTCACAACACATCAACAATATCCTTACTCAACCTCGGGTTCCCTATCACCAGCTTTCCTGTCCCGTTCTGCCTTCTAGTCCTTGTCCCTGGACTGCTGTGCCTCATTAGTCCCATTTGGTTTTATGGGGCTGTGCACTCCCCAGCTGAACGGTGAACCTCGGAAGTGACTTCAACACTGAGCTAAAAGGGTGCCTGGGGGCCATATTCTCGGGGTTTCTCCAGTCTCCTTTAGGCCAGTAAATCTGGTCTTTTTTTTTTGTGAGTTAGAATTTTGTTCTACATCCTTCTCCAGCTCTGTCCAGAACCCTCTATTGTGATCCCTGTCAGAGCAGTCAGTGGTGGTAGCTGGACACCATCTAGCTGTACTGGACTCAGTCTGGTGGAGGCCA